CGGCTCCTCCCGCGGGCATCGAGGCTCCGCCTCCCGGTCCGCCCCAGTCCCAGACCCCGCCCACAGTCCGCCCGAGCCCCAAGCCCCTCCCTCTGAGTCCCCGGGCCCGCGCCACCCGCTGAGCAGGTGAAAGTCCCCGAGGCGCGCTACCTGCCCTTTCTGCCCGGCCCCGGGAACCGCGCCCAGGCGGCAGGTCGCGTGTCCGGACCAGAGGGTCAGCACTGGTTTTGTTGTTGCAGCCCAGTTCAGAGCAGGGCTACTAAAAGGAGCTGCAGCAGCGCCTTGAGTTTTGTTTCTGTTTTTGTGTCTGCAAGAGACATATATATTGTTTTGTTTTTATGTTTCATCAGGAATACCCACATTCTGGCCCAAATGTATCCAAATCCAAATTATTAATCCCTGGCGTCTCCTTTTTCTAGAGAATCAATGCTGGACTCAAATGGAGGACTCTCGAGGGGCTTTCTGTGGCTTTGAACAGGTTTGTGACTTGAGTGATGGGCGGTGGGGATGGTTTTAATATTTAAAAAGCTACCAGCCTTGTGGAAAAGGACTAGGCAAAAAAGGAATGGTAAGGGACAAGAAGATCCAGAACTTTTTTATTCTTCTTCATTAAACCTTTTGTAACTGTATATGGGCAAACTGAGCTTCCAGCTTATTTCTGAAGACTTAAATACTCTCTCTGTCTTAGTAAATGCTGGAGTTCAATATGTCTGTTAAGGAAAGGCCTATTCACTTTTCTCCTTTACATCAACAGTTTATGAGAAAAGTTCCCTAATTATTTCCAATTTGGATGAGACTTTATAATGAACAGATTATTACCTATATATTTCATTTCTTTATCATATAAAATATGCAAATAAAGAGACGGGGGAGGAGTTAGTGACCCAGTAGTCATTATCTGTCTAAACCCTGTAAGGAGAGGTAAAATTACTATGACCTATGATTTACTTAACTTATTAGCACCCCAAAGTCACCAAAAGCAACCAGTCCCCAGCCAGTGCCAAAATCAGACCTGCTAGAGACCACAAACCAACCAAGTGGTCGCCTCCTATTGAACTCATCACCTTAAACTTAATCTTATGGTCCTGCGGACACAACCATCTAAAACAACCTGAAGACCAAACATTATTGAATTCTTATTGTATAGGCAAAGCTTGGAACTATCACCAAGTGTTGCAGAGAAATTACTTGCAAAGCATGTCTTCCTACACCACTTCCATGATAAATTTACAAGGATACCTTATCACCATAATTATATTTCTCATGTATTTTTCATTTTGTACCCTGGTGCAAAAAGGACAGTTGCCCTTTCCCTTATCTTGTTTACTTCTTTTCTACCAGCATTACTGGTCAAGATGTGGCATCTTCTCAGATAGATCCTTAAATTAAAGCTGATGACTTCAACAAATCAATCACATACATTATGCTAGATAGGCTATTATATTTATAAATATTAGTAAGAGCCAAAAATAGTTTGCAGGATATGCACTACTAACCTTCTTATAAATATAAGACATGAAAGTCTAATCAGGCATTTTGACTCTTTGAATGTCATGGTGGTTTTAATATGCATTTTAATGCACTCACTAAAATCTGGCACAGGAACTCAAAACTGAAAGGCTAGACCTTAAGTCACTACTTCATTTACTTCTCATATTCTCCCCTGAATATAAAAAGTCCTCTGGCTCCATTCTGCATCTTACTGGACTGCTGAATTTATCAGAATTTTATATCTAACTCTGACACATTATATACCAGATACAAAGAAGAAAACAAAAGCCCCAAAAGTATTTCAGAGTCAGGTACAGAAATCACTACATAGTAGACATCCAATTTGTGGAATCAGATATGATAGGCAATGTTTCTCTATATATTTATATTGCCTATATAATAGGCAATGTTGAGCCCAGTTATTTGAACTTTGCATGCATTGTCTTTGAATATTCATAGTAACTAACAAATTAGCCCCATTTTATGAAGAAACACACCTGCCTGAGAGCACCTACTTAGAAAAGCAAGGAGGCAGAATCTGAATCCAATTCTATGTCAAGAAGTGTTTCCATCATGGCCTGGGTAGCCATGATAGCCATGAAAGACTTCCTATTGCAAATGAGATGCACATCAAGTTTAGGGTCCCTGTTCTAGTTTGGTGTATATTGTTACTGAGCTAGATTCATTTCATTTCATTAGGTGAAATGTTCAAAAAGGAGAATCCAGTGCTCTGCTTAGACCTCCACTTTAACTCAGAGCCACAGGGCAATAAAACACTCTTCTTCTAAAAACAATGGGCATCCTAAGCAATTTCCTTTCTTTATTTTTTAGCAGTGATTTCAATCTTGTTTTTGCCCATTTGAGTATAATTGAGTTTTATCCACAGTATCTCCAACTCTTAAAAAATCAAGTTTTACTTCTTAAAATAAATGACAGGTATATGTATGTATCTTTGCCCATAACCATTGTATGCTAAACATCGCATGATATAATTATAATCTGGAGTACATTTAATGAAACAATATAAATTACTAAAGCATACAATATTTTCTAGTAAATTTTATTAAACTTTTGTTTAAAATTAACTGTAAAAAAATAAAATCCTGTCACAGAACTTCAGAGCTGAGAGTTACTGGGAGACCATCCAATCCAGCACTGTCATTATCAAGACAAAAAAATAAAAACTTACAAAGATTAAGCAATTCACGTACTTAGCACTATACACTACAACTCCTAGCTCAGTAACCTTTTTATCACACAAGAATGAGTTATATAAGTAATAAGAATAAACTTTATTTTTAACACATATTGGGAACTGAGAATATTAATTTGCTTTTGGTTATAAATACCTGCTTTGCTATGCCAAGCACTCTCTATGTATTGTCTAATGGACAGGTGAGGAATATAAGACTGAGGGAAGGAAGTAACTTGGCTATGTCATAGAGCAGTCAGTTTTAAGACTCTTCCCATGCATATAACCAGCAGACAATGAAGAGCATGTCAGCTTGAGCAATCCTGTTCAGATTCACAGATGAACCCACATTAAGTACTGTAAGATATTGCAACAGCACACAATGACTTCCTCCCATGAGACAGTGCTGTGTTCTAGGAAGTTCAAATTATTTTTGATGCCACCATATTTACCTGATGATATCTCCCTGGCATATGTAAAGTTGGAATCCATGAGCCCATTTTAAAAGTTGGTAATAAAGATATTAAGTCATTTCTCTCTGAAGAAAAAGAAATAACACCCTGTATCACCAGTGATCTCTAATTCACGTTTGGTTTCTCGTGATCTTTTAGTAAATAAGCAAAAAAAGCAATAATTTGGGACATTTGCCCTATGGAAAGAGTATTCTATTTGGATACTGGCCTACATATTTTTCCTTTCAATACCTACTCTGACCCCCCCCCCCCCTTCAACCCCTATACCCTACCTATGCCAAGGACAGGCGACTTTTCCAATAGAGTCATTCATTTCTGATTTTAAGATAAATCTTTTTTTTTCTAACAAAATCATGCATATGATGTTATTTATAAATCAAATACTCTTTTAACTGACTTCCAAATGGGGATGGCTTTTGGGTTCCAAGTTTTCCTCACAGCCTGTCAGTACAGATAAAATTACAGGAGGAGAAAAGCCCATGGAGTGGGAAGCTCCTTCCTTCCTAATGTTTTTCCCTCCCTGGAACAGACAGGCAAGAATCACAGGTCATGGCCATTTTCAGAAGGCCTGCAGGCTGTGGAACAGCCTTCTTTAGGAACACTTGCAGGGAATTAGGAGATAGGCAGGAAGAAGCAAATTTGAAGAATTTTAAGTTCAAGAAAGAAGGTTGGGTTTCTGGTTGGCTTTGAGTTTCCTTTCTCATGTAGGTTCTTCTAATATTCTCTCCTGAATAGTGTTCCCATTCCCCGCTTTTCTAGTGCAGAAGATGCTTTGTCACGCGCAAGTTAATAGGTGTGTTTCTTGGCCCAGCTTAAAATTTCAGGCAAGAAGCTTTTTATTGATTCAACAGCCTTTCGGTTGTTAAGCAAAAAAGTCATATTTAACAAGTATTCCTGCTAGATTCGGGGTTGGGGGTGGCAGCGGGGACTTCAGGAGGTTTACAGCTTCAGTGACATAGTCAGTATTATCTAAGGAGGTACCATTTCGAGGTGGCATGGAAGGAAGAGAAAGAAAGCTCTTGAAGATTGGGTTGGTCAGATGTTGCTGAAACTTGAGTGAGACTTGAAAAAAGGCAAGGATTTTAATAAAGAACTCAGCAGGAGGAGGGCAAGAGATGGAGACAAGGTCTGTGGAGACAATAATCTGTTCAGTGTCTTCAGGAGACAGCAAGGAGATAAGCTCACAGGACTGAGCCTTCCTGCTGGAGCACAGTTGATGGGGGGGGGGGGTGCTTTGCCATGTGGGGGGTTGGGGGGCTGCACTCCACTAGAAATCTGAGACTTGACCCAGATCGCTCATTCAGAAAGAGAACCCATCCCCACTCATACCACCCTCCCCCCTCCAAAAAATAAAGAAAATAAAGATTTAATTTAAGCTACAGTTGAAAAATGTTTGGTACTTAGTGGATGACTTTTTTTTTTCCATATTGTAAGACTATATGGAATTGACAAGATAGTCTTTATGCTGTTCTCCTGTGCACAG